GCTTGGCTAGGTGTGGGTGCCGCAAATACCTAATAATGGGCCTAACGTACACGGTTGTACTGGTCCTGAATGAATCCTTATTAAGAAAAGTCGGAATGCTGTTCTGAGGTTTGCCAGGCGCCCCATATAGCGCTGCAGTTATTTGGTTGACGTGCGACTTGAGTATCAGGAGAATGTGCCTTGGTTGTTATACTCACCCCAAGATCTTTTTCCTTGAGTGATGTTTGTAGTCTCTGGCCCCCCTAGACTGTACTGACCGTCCTGCGTCTTCTTTGCCTTCCCCAATCCTCATGACCTTTGCACTTGGTGGGATTGAACTCCAGGAAACAGTTGCTGACCAGACTGCAGCCTGTCCCAGATCCCTTTGTAGTTCTGCCTGGTCTTCGATCGAAGGAACTCTTCTCATCAACTTCACGGTCATCTGCAAACAGGTACACCTCCAGGATTTATTCCTTCCGTCATGTCGTTCAAAATACCAGAAACAGCACTGTCCTATGACTGCCCCTGTGGGACCCCGCTGGTCACTGTTCAGGTGCCCACTCTGACCACCTCGCCACGTACCATACTCGCTGCTGATCTTCCTGACAAGTATTCCTAGATCCATTGTAGTGCCTTCCTGTTATCCCTGCTTGGTCCTCCCAGTTTTTGCACTAATCTCTGGTGGTACGGTGTCAAAACCTTCTTGCAGTCCAAGAAAATGCAATCCACCCACCCCTCCTCTTCTTGTCTTACTGCTGTCAACCATTCATAGAACTCCAGTAGGTTTGTGACACAGATTTCCCATCTCTGAATGACCAATGTTGCTGCCTGGTGATGAGATCATTCCTTTCTAGATGTTCCCACACCATTTTTTTATTTTTTTTATTCTTCTCCTGACAATCTTTTCCATGATTTGCATCTATACATGTCAGTGACACTGGTCTGTAGTTTTAGTGCTTATGTCTGTCTCCTTGTCAAAGATTTGGGAACCACATTTGCTGTATTCCATGCCTCAGTCAATCTCCCTGTTTCCGATAGATGTATTGAATTATTTGTTGTTAGGGTAACACATAGCCCTCTGCTCCCGTCCTCCTCAGGACCCATGGAGAGATGTTAACTGCCGCTATGGCCTTTGAGGTATCTAGCTCACGTCTAGAAGCCTCTTCACTTCTTCCTCGGTTGTGTGTACTGTGTCAGCACATGGTGGTGTAAGCCACACCGTCTCCGACTTTTCTGGAGCCCATCCCTTCTGTCTCCTCTGTGAACACTTTCTTTGAATCTCTAGTTGAGTTCCCTCTACATACTTCACGGTCCATTTCTGTTGTCTCTCCCCTTCTTCCTTAGGCCTGATTACTGTCCTAACGGTTGTTTTTCTTCCTGATGTGGCTGTATAAACAGCTTGGGTCCGATTTGGATTTTTGCTGCTATGTCGTTTTCATATGGACGTTTTGGCCTCCATCTTATCTGTGCGTATTACGATTTCTGGCTCTACGACTGGCTCACCTTATACTCCTGGTTCCCTTTGCCTCTATATTTCTTCCCATCCCTAGACACTTGGTTTTTTGCCTCCATGCATCTTTGGGTGAACATGGGCTCATCCTGGGCTTTTTCATTATTCCTGTTACCCATGGGTACATTATTCTTAAGTATTATAGACATACTGGTTATAAATGACCATAATGTCACCCTGTTACCTCAAATTCACCTTTTTCCCCTTTGCATTTCGACTTGTCCCTTCCTTTCTTTCGCCCTTCCTTTTCCAACCTTTTTCCCCCATTTAAAAAGCTTTTTTCTCCATTTTTTCAAAAGCCTCCTAATTTTCCCCCCCCTTTTGCTCTATCCTTTTCCATGTTTCCCCTTTCCCTCCCTCCAACCATTGCCCAATCCCTGTTTCCCCTTCCCACCATTTTTTTTTTTAAAAGGAAGAAAAGAGAAAAAGAAAGGGGGGGAAAGGGGGAAAAGGGAGAAGAGGGGGGGAAACCTAAAAGGGGAAGAAAAAAAAGGGGAAAAAGTGGGGAAAAAAAAAAAAGGGGGGGGCGGGGGGGGGGGAAAAAGGGGGAAGGGGGGAAAAATGGGGGGGGGGGGGGAAAAAAGGGGGGTAAAAAAAAAAAAGGGGGTGGGGAAAGGGGGGGGGAAAATGGGGGGGTGGGGGGGGGGGGGGGGGGGGAAAAAAAAAAAAGGGGGGGGGGGAAAAAGGGGGGGGGGGGGGGGGGGGGGGGGGAAAAAAAAAAAGGGGGGGGGGGGGAAAAAAATTTAATTCCAGGGGAAAAAACCATAGGTGGGGGGGTTGGTCAATATGGTGTGTGTGTTGTGTTTGTTTTTTTTTTTTTTGGGGTTTGGTGTGTGTGTGTGTGTGTGTGTTTGGGTGTGTGGTTGTGTTGGGGGGGTTTTTTTGGGTGTGTGGTGTTTTAAAATTTAAAAACCCGGGGCTCCCCCCCCTTTTTTTTAAAAATTTTAAAAATTTCCTTCCTATTTTTTTCCCCTTAAAGGGTTGTTATCTCCAAATTTTAAAACAGCTTCGGGTCAATTTGTCTTTTGCTGCTATGTCTTTTCATATTACGTTGGGGCCCCCCCTTCTTTTCTGTGCAAAATTTGTTTCTGCTCTAGCTGCCCCTTTTTCTCCCGGGCCCTTTTCCTTCATATTTTTTTCCCTTCCCTAGCACACTTGGTTTTTTGCCTCCTTCATCTTTGAGTGAACCATGGGGCCCTCCTGGCTTTTTCTTATTCCTGTTACCCTTGGGTAAAACCTCCCTCACCCCCTTGCCATTGTTGCACATATCCATCATCTCCTTAACTGGCTTCCCTGCCATTCTTTTTCCCACTGAACCCCATTCAGGAAGTTCCTCATTCCTGTGTAGTCCCCTTTCCTGTAGTTTTTTTTTCATTGTCCTTGCCTTTCCCGCTTCCCCCTCCATTGAGCTCTACTTGATTCCGAAGCTCAAAAAACCCATATCGCTGGGCCCCCAAAGGGGGCTTTCATATGGATGTCCTCAAAATCCACTACTCAAGTGAATACTAATCCAGTCCAGTGTGGGGTGTGGTTGTGTGTGTTGTGTGTGGGTGTGTGTGTGTGTGTGGTGTGACTCAAAAAATCAATATTTTCACCAAAACTCCTACAGTTCTGACCGGGGTTTGGGGAATGTGAATTGCCTTTACACTATAATTTGTTCATGATTGTAGCCATTATAAACGAAAGTAACCATTTTTACGTATTCATTACCTTTGTAATTTATTCATTACCTTTGTACCAGTTCAGCTATCAAAACTTGGAGGCCCAACCCCCTGGACCCATTACTCCTTTTGTAATCTGTAAATCCCTTTTTGTAACTTGAATGATTGTGCCGACCAAAACCTGGAGTTCATTCCCTTTGAAAAATTGTGAGTTCATTCCCTTTTGAAAATTTGGAGTTCATTACCTCTGTAACTTGCTCACTATAAAAAACTTTGGAGTCCAGTCCCTGGACCAATTTTACCTCTGAAATCTTTTGACTACCGTCCACGGGAGGGGTATGGGGTGCATAATAATCATTTTAAACTATTAAACTACTAAAATTTTAACCCCCGCCAAATGCAAAGTCATGAAGATCGGAGGGGGGCAAAGAATCTGCAGCGAGTATAGGCTAGGGGCCAAAAAGACGCAACCTCACTCAAGGAAAAGACCTAGGAGTGCGTAAATGCCGATACATCGCCAGAACACACATTAACCGATAATGCTGCGGCATAGGCGCATGGGAAACCTGAGAATAGCGTTTCCCGGACCCAAGTAAGGGAACTTTCAAAACTTTTTACACTGGTACGTCCGGCCCCTAAGGGTACCACACCATTTGGGAAACCCCCAAACCCGGCAAACACGTCAAGAAATGCAAGGTTTGCAAAAAGGCTATTCAGAGCTAAGGGGGGTGTCCATGAAAAAAGGTTTTAAAGGAAATCGGTCTGACAACACGGGGGGCAGAGGGTCAGGGAGACAGAAACGACTACAAAATACTGCTGGAATAGACAACGAACAAGACAGATGTTTTCCCAAAAGGGACACAGAAACAAGGGGGGCCACAATTGGGAAACTGAAACTCAGATGATTCAAAAGGATGTTTGGGAAATATTTCTTTAGTCTAGAGTAGTTAGGAAGTGGGAAAAGTCCCGGGAAGCGATGTATGGAGGGAGAACAACATAGTTTTTTAAAACAGTTATATAAAGCTCAGAGCAGGGGGGGAGAGGGCCTATAGCGGTCGGGAAAGGGGGGGCCGGGGCGATCTCGACCCCTGCAACCCAAAAAGGTACAATTAGGTGAGTACACAAGCAATCATATATAACAGGCCTAGTGTCTAATCGACATGTGCCTAGGACAAAATGGTAACTAACCCAGGTACCTACTTAACGCTAATAGACTTAAATATACTTGACGTCCCTCTCGTAATGAGGCTCGACCCAACGTCCTCTCGGGTGTGAGCCGAGAACGCTAAGCAATGAACATACTTCAGTTGTATTTAATTTGGAGTAATAGAACTGTAGTTTATAATTATATTGGAGTTTCCAATGGTGACTGCGTCTTCCTCCCAGTCAGCTAACACACAGCTGTTTAGTGTAAAGTGAACAGTAAAAAAAATTATGGAATCTTTGTTCTGTCATTAAGAATGTCCGCCTTTTCAATTATCATTATCATTGTCTACTGCGATACTGCTCCTTTTTAATCTGCCCCTGAAGAAGGTGCTTTGAATCATTACCGAATTCTTCCCATTTCCTGATGTTTCATGGTCCCTATGAGTTTAGTGCTCCCCCATAAATGTTATTATTTATACTCCAGGGCACTAAAGAGAATAAGCGCCAATACTCCACTAAATTTAAGATATACTATAGGTATACTATAGACTATAGTTAATTAATTAAGGATCAGTATCTCGCAATTAAATTCCTAAAGTGCATATATAATTGTCTGTGTAGTCAATATAGCTAGCTGAAGCTAGGACGGTCTCTGTACTGGCGAAGTCCAGTGGTCGCATGTTTTTAACTCCTCTCGTGTTTACCTGTAAGAAGCCCAGTAAGATCCCTTCTCGAAGTCGACCATGTCAATTTTGAGTTCGTAGGATTTCTGGTTGGTGAGAACGTGAAGGAAGTCATTACCAGCCCAGAACTCCGCCTCGAGGTCACCAAAGCCGGCCTTGTATTCGTGCCAGTCGCGGTTGAAGTCCACCTGCCAGTAAAACTCTTGATAGATGTATATATATATATGTATGTACAACATATAAAAAACCTTCAAATCAGATAAAATGCTCTTGAGAACTTTCTGACGTCGATGTTTTGGCTAAACTAACTTAAAGAGAGCACTCATTATTTACCGTTGTTTATCAGAAGTTTAAAAACTCTTACTGAAAATGAACAAGCAAATTAATTTGAAAAAAGTAGAAGGCTTAGATTCCATTATAATGAAATGCAACAAATTGTTACATACGGCTTGCTACTGCAGGCACTGTCAGACTATCATGTATATACTGGCGCTGTAGGCACTCGACAACATACCTGTTCGACTACCTTCGCTCTTCTCTGGATGACGAGCCAGCCACCCTGCCCTGTTTCCATATCACAAAGCACCTGCCGCCCGAACTTCTGCAAGTAATACACCCCAGAAGCGTTGAAACCCATTTCGTAGAGGTCCTGGCAGTCTCCTGCAAGGCGGTTGACAGATATGCGGCCGAGCTTGGCTACCTGGTCTTCCATGTGTTTGGTTTTGAGCTCCATGAAGAGCTTCACGTCAGAGAGCTTGCTCAGTATCTGGTCCTGGAATCTCCGCAACTCTGTTTTGGTAGCATCAGCCCCATTGTTGACGCTCTCCCGGACGGCTATAGCCTGCTGGTTGGCAACCGCTAGAGACTCACTGATCCCCCTCATCGTCTCCTTCAGCTCAGCCAGGGACTCGTCCTTGGCTGCGGTGGTCTCGACGCGGGAGATGGCCTGTAGGAGGCGCTGAGTTGTGTTCAGGAGGAGGTTTTTGAACATCATGATGTCGTACTCACCGACGACGTCCTCTAGTTTGGTCTCCTCGTAGGTATGGGCGACCACCAGGAGACTGAGCACGACCAGGGGGCCCCATGTCCCGCCCATCACGACCACCTAAGTGCTACCTGCTGTGATAAAACTCATTTGTCAGTTTTGCCACACTTATTTTATATTAATAAGACATAATATGCGGCTTGTGGCATTTTGCTGAGCAGGAATTTGTTAACTAGTGGACGAAGAACCTTCCTTGAAGGGAATAGGTCTTTACAGTTTATTTTGGTTATAAAAAGTAGCATCGTTCCTATATCACATGCACATTGCAATCTTCACTTATTTCAATCTGTAAAATTCTCCTCTCTCTCTCTCTCTCTCTCTCTCTCTCTCTCTCCTCTCTCTCTCTCTCTCTCTCTCTCTCTCTTCTCTCTCTCTCTCTCTCTCCTCTCTCTCTCCTCTCTCCCTCTCTCCCTCTCTCTCTGTATATATATATATATACAGGGCAGGATGACCCAGGAAGAAAACATATTCACCATCATTCATTCAACGCCTTTTTTTTCCAAAAGTGTGCTGACATCACAAGCAGTTTACCCTCTGACCGCACTCTCTCTGACCGCACTCTGACCGCACTCTGACCGCACTCTCTCTGACCGCACTCTCTCTGACCGCACTCTCACCCATCTTTTAGAGTGCAAAAAAACAGAGTCGTCATTTATATTATTTTTATAGGGGTGTAAAAAATGGTTATAACTACTTAAATTTTTAAATGGGTGGAGTGGTAAGCCAGCGATAAGCCTCGATCAGATGACTTAAACAGCTCCACGGCAGTCATCACCCATGTCAGGAAACACTTTTTCTGTTTCCTGACAAACCTTGCATAAAGGATGTAAATCAAGGGAAATAAAACCTTAGGTAAAAAAAAGAAAAAGAAAAAACTTAACTGCTCTCGCCAGGGCTCGAACCTGGGACCTTCTGCGTGTAAAGCAGACGTGATAACCACTACACTACGAGAGCGATGGTGCAATGTGATCAGTAGCTTGAATTCATATAACAATATCATTTGAGATTAGTTTTTATCATAGTATTTGCAGTGTTTGGATGAGGGAAGATTTTATTGGGATTTTTAACCCGGGAAAGGGAAGGGTTACCCTGGGTGTCAAGGATAACCCAGTAAAGTTACTGTGTGTCTCATTTCCACTGTGGTTCTTAATCTTCTCCCTCAGGATACCACCCACAACAATCGACTAAACACTCAGGGGCAGTAGGTGTAAGGAAACATGCTCCAGGTTTCACCCGTGCTGGGAAGCGATCCCGGACCCTTAGTGTACGAGTTGAGGACGCTACCAACCATGACAATGTTATTTTATGTACACGTATTAAATCTTGAAATATACATGCTAAGGATTTCTTAAAGTAGGACGTGGAGGTTACCTGGAGTCGCCTCCGGAGGTCACCGCCCCCGCGGCTCGACCCCAGACCAGCTCCTGGTTGCTGACCTGATCGATTAGGCTATTGGTGCCAGCAGCCCAACGTATGCACCACAGCACGGGTGATCAGGAACTGATTTGAGAAATCTGTCGAGTTCCCTCCTGAAGACATACCTTAGCAACAGAAGCAAATATGTGTACACAAATGGAGCAAACTCTTCTACACAGCCAATTACAGTAGGTGTCCCACAGGGAAGTGTCCTTGGCCCTCTTCTCTTTCTCATTTACATAAACGACTTACAAAATGCATCGCAACTACTCAAACCCACACTATTTGCAGATGACACTACATATGTCTTCTCTCACCCGAGCCCAGTCACGCTAGCCAATACTGTAAATACCGAATTACAGAAAATATCTACCTGGATGATGGTTAACAAGCTTACTCTCAATATTGACAAAACCTACTTCATTCAGTTTGGGAACCGAACTAGAGATGTTCCTCTTAACATAATGATAAACGGATCACCTATCACAAAGCTCACAGAGGGAAAATTCTTAGGAATCTACCTTGATAATAGACTCAAATTTCAAACACATGTGCAACAAATTTCCAAGAAAATCTCCAAGACTGTAGGCATACTATCGAAGATACGGTACTATGTTCCACAATCAACTCTCTTTGCCCTATATCACTCACTCATTTACCCCTATCTCACCTATGGAATCTGTACATGGGGCTCAAAAATAATAAACCATCTCAGACCATTAATTACCCAATAAAAGGCTGCAGTCAGAATGATAACAAATTCCCAATACAGGTAACATACTCCACCAATATTCAAAACTCTAAACTTACTCACCGTACAAGACATCCATACTTATTATTGTGCCTACTACATACATAGAACATTAAACTCAGATATAAACCCTCCCCTCAAACTTCTCCTTACCAACCTCAACAGAACACATAACCATAACACAAGGCACAGATCACTCTTTGATGTTCCCCGTGTCCATCTCACACTATGTACAAATTCGATGCACATAAAAGGCCCAAAAATCTGGAATTCATTACCTGTGAATATAAAAGAAACTCTGTTTACCAATTTAAGACTCTTCTTAAAAACCAATTACTCACCCACAACTAAATAAATACTGAATAACTGTATCTCATAAATGGATAACCTGTGACCCTATCAAACTTTGTTTTTTAATTACATTACCTAATGAAATGCTCCATTCTTCTCCATTCTCTTGAATGCTCAGTAACTCATCTAATGACATATGACCTGTTTCTCCACTACAAATCACTGATTTTATTCGATTTGATCTGATTAATAAATTGTATGATTTCATTTAGTATATTGATCATTTTGTTATATTATACATTATTATGCTACAAATTTGTACAACTATAATGCTTCTTAATTAAAATCTTCAAATTTCATTGTTCAAAATACCCAATTGTACTTCATGTTGTAATTTGTTTACTGTATTTTTTTCCACTGAATATATCGTTGCTTAGTTAATCTTAAGTTAATTTTAAGCTGCCCATAATGTTCTGTATACAAGGGACTTTTGGTATGTACACTCAACCACTGTAATTCCTTGTACAACTATGTATCATGTTCAAATAAAAGTTATTATTATTATTATTATTATTATTATTATGAAGAAGCCTACTGTGTAGGCGAAACGTTTCGGAATAAAGTTGCCTAACTGTTGCCTATGTGTCTTACCTACCAACCTGTCGGTATTGTATACCATTTTAATGTTCATTATTATTATTATTAAGACGGCTAGGTATTTGCTGGTAATCCCACATATGTATGAAGGGAGAGTGTTGACGAGTCTTGGTCCCCTCACACTTATTGAGCTCTCTCTTAGTGAGCTCGTCGTTTCCTTGCTTTAACCGGAGACATCTTACACCGTCTGCCAGTCCTCTTGTGTTTACAGACAGTTATTTCAGCGTTCAGGTTTGGGACCAATCCCTCCAGAATTATGAGGTATCTTTTTAGCCTACGTTTTAAAGAGTGCAGTTCCGGGGACCTCAATCTCTTCCAGTAATTTTGGTGTTTGATTTGAGTTTATACCAGCTGTGAAGGCTCTCTGTACATTTTCCAATTCAGCATTTTCGCTTGCTTTAAAGGTGGTTGTTAGTACATAGTAACATTCTAGCCTAGAGAGAACCAGTGACTTGAAGAGTGTCGTCAACGGCTTCGCATCTCTTGTTCTCAACATTCTATCTATCCAACGTATCATTTTCCTTGAAGTGCGATAATAAAAATAATAATAACAATAATAATAATATCACTATACTATGAAATTATAACAATAATTATTCAGAGGTGGCATCCAACAACCTCTAACATCATACCCATGACGCAACCAGTTTGATGCAACCAACATTGCTGCCATGGTGCAACCAGCATGATAACCATGACGCAACCAGCATGACAACCATGACGCAACCAGCATGACAACCATGACGCAACCAGCATGACAACCATGACGCAACCAGCATCAATATCCACGGCAAAGTTCAAGGTGTAGGCACTGCACTTTTCATCTACGTGTTAGTGAGACATACTGTTTACCTGGAGAGAGTTCCGGGGGTAAACGCCCCCGCGGCCCGGTCTGGGACCAGGCCTCCTGGTGGATCAGAGATTGATCAACCAGGCTGTTACTGCTGGCTGCACGCAAACCAACGTACGAGCCACAGCCCGGCTGGTCAGAAACCGACTTTAGGTGCTTGTCCAGTGCCAGCTTGAAGACTGCCAGGGGTCTGTTGGTAATCCCCCTTATGTATGCTGGGAGGCAGTTGAACAGTCTCGGGCCCCTGACACTTATTGTATGGTCTCTTAACGTGCTAGTGACACCCCTGCTTTTCATTGCGGGGATGTTGCATCGTCTGCCAAGTCTTTTGCTTTCGTAGTGAGTGATTTTCGTGTGCAAGTTCGGTACTAGTCCCTCTAGGATTTTCCAGGTGTATATAATCAAGTATCTCTCCCGCCTGCGTTCCAGGGAATACAGGTTCAGGAACTTCAGGCGCTCCCAGTAATTGAGGTGTTTTATCTCCGTTATGCGCGCCGTGAAGGTTCTCTGTACATTTTCTAGGTCAGCAATTTCACCTGCCTTGAAAGGTGCTGTTAGTGTGCAGCAATATTCCAGCCTAGATAGAACAAGTGGTAAACACAATCAACACATTTACTGAAGAAGTATCGCCACTGGGGACTATCTCCCCTTAATCTCTCTCTCTCTCTCTCTCTCTCTCCTCTCTCTCTTCTCTCCTCTCTCTCTCTCTCTCTCTCTCTCTCTCTCTCTGCCTTTTCTCTCTCCTTAAATCAGAGAGTTGAAAGCACATTATATGTGGCAGAGAGCTGTCAGGTACGATTCAGGGAGAAAGACTGACGTCACTTAAGGTCACTTAACGGTATCAGGTGGGCGGGTCCGTGTACTGTGTTTGTGAGAAAGATTGGTGTTATAGAGGAGCTCTGTCTAGCATGAGTTAGCAGACTTACTACAGTAGAAAAAAAAAACACTGTACGGGTTGGGTTAGAACTCATGGCAGGTCGTAAAACTCCAGGCCAGTGCTTACTACTACGGAAATTCTCCATTCTTATGTTACCCGATGACAGTGCTTTTGGTTGAGCAAAATAATTTTGGCGAAAATACTGAAGATGCTGAAATGACTGAAATCGAAA